TCAAATACCACTCGTAGATTAGAAAGAGAATTTTCCGGTAGAGGTTAAATAGAATCAACAGAGTTTGATTTATACTTCAGAGTATCGAAATAAATGGAATACTGAGGTCAAAGTGCGATCAAAATATCGACTCGGGTTATCACGAATAACTGTCACGATTTCGTCGAGGCTGTCTGCTCGCGAAATATGCTCCTGCACGATGCGATCGTGCTATCGCAATAATATACGGAGAATTGTGCAGTAAAAATTACTGCAGAATTTCTCAACCGAAAAGGGCAGATCGACATTCTGCAGTAATTTATTATTCTTTTATCTCACACGTGCCACATGCATTTTAGGAATTAAAATATGCTACTAAAAAGTTTGCTATGTTTTTATAATGAGGGAAAAAATATGAAACAATACAATGTTTATTTAGTGGGTATTAGTGATATATTTACTCGAACCTAAATTCTTCCATTTAAAAAGTATAGTCAATTGTCTTTGTGAAAAGTTAAGGCTTTCAGAAAATGTACATTTTCTTACTTGAAAAATATTCTGTTATAATACCGCAAGTAAATCTGTTATCACAGTACCGCGGGCGTAATAATAATTCTTTATTTCTTCAATATTTTTTCTCTCGGTGTAGCGAAATTTGCTGTACGTTCCTCAGTTTAAGGTAGACCTCAGTGACGGTTTACTTCTGCGCTACTGGAAACATAGCAAAATCGAAAAGAATTTCTATGAAAACGACATTACTTCCGCATGTACTTCCGCTTTGCTATTTCCATTCGTGCGTTTCGTTGGTTTCCTTTGGTCTCGTGAATTGCGACACTTATTCAACTTTTGTAGAATTTTATGTATGCTTTTTGCGTAATTATGCGTTTCGCCTTCTCGATTTCTTCCTTTTCCGCAATTCGGGTTAAGGTAACGATAGCAACTCTTTTCAGCCGCGATACATTCATTTCACGTGTTATGTCTCCAATAAAGCTATTACGGCTACTATTATCACGCATGCCAGATGATCGAGAGGGTACATTATCTGGAGGAGAGCAAACACGTCGCCGCGCCCGCATAGCTCTCCATCGGCGCGTCGCTTTTTCGGGAGAGGACGATGATCCTATTATACCCGCTTAAGTCAAATACGAGTGGGACGAAAGTTTCGGCCTGGACTTCTAAGAATTTCGCCCGTGAAACTAGAGCGGGCCGCCGGCGCATTAGACGGCCTGTACCGGCGCCGGTAGTTTTATCGAGTTAGTCGACGAGTTTCTGTGACACGTTCGCGAAAGTTAGCCGCGTAACTGCTGATCGTTCGGGAAATTCTGTCGATTGTTTATCCAATCGACTTCGCTTTTATTGGACACACGGTGAAAAAAATTCGAATGTATTTTTTTATTTTTTATTCTCTCTCTCTTTCTCTTTTTTTTACCAGAAAGACTCGCCGGCTCGCTCGCCTTTATCACGCGCGCTCCGCACACAGGCGTACGAATACGGGATTATCTATAAAATAACGGAAAGAACGGGAGAAAATTACAGTTAACTGAAATCATTACTGGCGGTAAAATAAAGCAGCGCGAAGTAATAATGACGACGTTACGGTGTAATGTACGGTGTGCGGCCGTTACAGCTGCAATAGTTTCGGGTTATGACACCGTACGATCGTGATAACGACGTCATTATAATGATAATCACAGTCGCGATAATTTAAATAGTTTTATTGTCCGCCAGTATCGTAAGCGGTACACGACATTCCGAGGAAATGAGGAGGAGAGAGAGAACGAAAAAGGGAGAGAAGAAACATTCTTTTATATTCCGGACACGCGAAGCCACCGCGTGACGAAAACCGTCGCTTACTCTGTTTCGATTATCGCGAGATTCTGCGGGGAAAGGCGCGCTTCGTGTGCTTCAGAGCTATTTACTTTATTTCCTTTGCCGTTTTCAATATACTGCACTCGTTGATGCGCGCGCGCGTTCGCTCGCTCGCTCGCCCAAGTATCGCTGATTATAATTCCACGATAGTTATTACAGCGATCGCGCGGAATAAGTCCCCAGCCAGCTGTTTTCAGCATCGTTGCGCCGAACGGCGCAGGCAAATTTGCCTTAGTTTGTCAAAGGTTAGTACTTAACGTTCTACCGTTCAAAGCTCACCGAGTGCCCGAGGGCGTAACTTCCCCCATATCGATCGCGGTGTTTGCAACAGCAACGCGCGGGATGAACGCGCGGTTCGTTTGTGGCGCAGGATCATCTGCAATTGACAAACCGTGTCAATTCCCGGGACGCCCCAACTTGCCCGATATCGATTTCGATCCGATACTTGACGTTTACGCGGCGCCTGACTTCGAGGTGCCCGACAAGCGAGACTTACGAGGGACACGTGTGCACGAGGGAGCGACCGCCGCTCGGAAGAGTCTCTCCACCCCTATCGTTATCGTCGCGCACAGCGATATTCTCCTTCCGCCGTTCTTTAAGCAAGAATATCCCCTCGCTTGTTATTATAATTTATATATAAGGATTTTGTTGCTTTCTTATGGGATTACAATTACACTTACATCCTATGTTCTTACAATCTAACTTTTTTTTCTTTTCCGCTCGTTTCTACCTGTCACACACACACATACCTCGCTCCTCCCTCTCCTTCCTACTCCTTTTATTACTAACTTATGTCTATTTTAAAACTAACTTAATCTACCTTAAAACTACCTTATTAACTAACTTATTTACATTTTTACATACGTTACATACGCTTTCTCCCCACTCTTCTCCTTTCGTTTCCTTCTCTCTCTTCCTCCCCATCCCTCTCTCTCCCTCACATCCCATTCATTCAGTCGTTCTTCCTCCTCCCCCTCCCCCTCCTTCCTCCCTCTTCCCTTGTCCTTCATTCTCTCCATTTCTTTCATCCACTCCTCTCCCTCTTCCCCCAAATTTTCTCCACCATCTCCTGCCAACTCCCTATTTCCCCATTACTCCCACTCCAACATCTTTCTCAAGCATGCTCCCACATCTCTTCCTCTCCTCCACATATTCTACATCTCCTCTTCTCCTCCTCTTCCCAGTACTTTCCCTCTTTCAACTCATTCCCCAACCTAAACCTAATTACTCTCCTTCATCTCTCCTCTGACCATCCTTTTTCCAGATATTTCGGTATTCCCTCCCCCTTCATTCACCCATACTACCTATTTACTCTAGACATCCTTATCCTTTTCCACCTTTCTTCCTTCTATTTTTCCCTCTCTCTCTCTCTCTCTCTCTCTCTCTCTCTCTCTCTCTCTCTCTC